ACTGAGGGAAATAAATCAATAACATTTGAAACTGTATGGCAAGGGAATTCCTCTCCATCTTGAATCAGGCATTTTCAAATTGTTTTCAAGAAAAATTTGAAAGAAATTTCAAGTAAAAGGCTCCAAGTGGCACCATACATTTTAAATCTGTCACCCTACTGAGATATGTCAAGCCTGGAGAATATAAAATCCATGCTTCGTTAAGTCTTAAATTGTTAGTGTTTGAGCTAGTAAAAAGAAGTGGTCACGGGGTACGGTCTAAATACAATACACCATACACATTGATTTCTAACATCCAGATTTAAAAATAATTGCTTTACGTTGAAGCAAAGCTGACTTTCACTTTTGAAACTAGAGAGCTAGAGGAGAGGAATTAGTAGGTTAACATTTAACAGTGGGTTATAATCATAGACGCACTTGGTTGACACAAAAGGAGTTTTGCATATAAAGATTTCCCAAAGAAGATTCAGGAACAATCAGAATAGAGCTTTGGATCTCTGTGGGCACAATGTACACAAGCCCCATTTAGAAGAATTTCAATTCTCAAACTGAGTTTTGTTTTGTTTTGTATTTTGAAAAAAAAAAAGAGCAAGTCAATTTTTGTTTTTAGGTCAAAAACTTCACACAGCTGGGAAAAAAATCTAAATATATTGTTGGTGTTGTAGGGAAGCACTGTATAATTAATAATAATGCCAAATTCTTCATTTTTCCATGTAGCTGAAACTATTTTTATAAAAGATAATCTTGGAAAATAAAATCCACGTGACAGGAAAAGCAGAAAAGATTCTTCCTGTCTAAAATCAGTTGTGAGACGTCTCCTACAGGAGCTCCTACTTCTCTTCAGACATTCATTCAGAAAAAATCATGAAGAGGTTTTGCAGTATTTTACAATAAAATAACTAAACAACCATACGATTTTTTTTTAAAAAAGGGTGTACCTTTTAGAAAAACCATGCCTGCTACTGTTACTTAAATTTGTTTTATATTAAGTGCAGAAAAATTGTATCTATATGTCTACGATGATTTTTTAAAAAAGCCCATTTATAGAAACGGGGACTCTGTAATGTTGGACTGTTAGGGTGGTTCTTGTACTCAATATTAGATTCATATATGAAATTTGCCTGGAACCAGACCTTACTCATAAAAAGTGATGGAGCAAATATTGTATTCAAACTCTCCTCAGTTACATCAAATGGAGGAGATACTTTAAAAAATTCTTCCAAGTAAGAAGACCATGGGTAGAAAATGTCTGCATGCTTGCTTTTGTATGTCTTATTTATGCAAAACTCTTTTGTGCATTTTGCTGTTAGACGCTTGCTTAGAAAATGGGAAATCTTGATCCCATCACAAACCATACATATCGCTCCATTGTGTCTTTTACACTGAGTCTCCTACTGAGTCCAAATCATCCGACGAGAGGGGGCGGTACAGGTCCTGTAAGACGAAGGGCAGGACAGATTCGTTTACTCATCTTTCTCGGGTTCGCTGTCGCTCCCCGAGGAGCAACTTGGAAAGGGATGGGTCCTTGGCTTCTGATATCACTAGAACTACTCAACTCATCAGCTTTGGACAAGAGAGAGGATAACCCAGGCAGACTGACGATTTCATTTCATCGGCACGACAAAGGCTTCCTGCGCTATCAGGGCTCCTTCCTGCCTTCCAGCGTGCCCAGGTGGAGTTCTGGCCCTTGCTGCCAGCCAAGACCAACTGCGCTATTCTGTGCGTAGGCAATTCTCCTATGGACTTTGTCTTCCCATTCTGGGAAGAGGAATGTGTTTGCCTCACCAAATAACTTATGAGAAGCAGCAGCTGGCACACAGGATATTCTGGGGTGTAACTCCAGTGTGCAGTTGCACATACACAGTGTGCACCCAACACACTTTATCCCTTCCCAGTTTTATGTTTGGGTGCCCGGGAGAAATCTCCATTATCCCCATCCCCATCCTGTCCCAACTATTCTTCTAGTTCCCAGCCCCTTCTCCATCTCTTCCCAGCCTCTCCCTGCCTCTGTCTGCTACTATATCTCAGTGTTAGTAGCCAAACAACCAGCTTAGTTCTACCAGGAGCGTCTACAGATGGCTCTTTTCCAGTTTGGGGGCACCCACTCCTACATCCTCTGCTGGATCAGTTAATCCACAAGAGTCAGCGATGTGGGAGTGTAATGGGGAGCTTCATTCAACCTACACAACATAACACATTTTTTTTTCCCTTGATGTCTTAAGAAAAGGGTCCAAAAAACATTCATGGATGGGAAGAGAGCCTCAAAAGTTGACTTCTGAGGCCAGGCAGGCACTTCTAGGTGGCCACTTAACTAATTGTGCTTTGTGTATATCGGAAGGGCACTGGGTCCACTGTCTCCAGGGTGTTTATGAAGAAAGTGCTGTGATATGCTGACGTGTCTCTCATATGACTATTCTAAAATGTCAAAAAGAAGTCATTTAGAAACATGATCTGAAGGGATGGAAAGCAGCCTAAATCACAGTTAATGCGAGTAAAATATAGACTTTTTCACTTGTAAAAAAAATACATCATAATATTCTTTTTAAAAATTAGCTTCTGCTCCTGTATTTAAGGTATGTGTATGTACATATATGTGTGTGTAAGTGTGTCTGTATGTGTGCATGTGTGTATGTGTGTGGGTCTGGATGACTTTGTCAACTTATTTTTGGGGTATGTTACTAGGCAACACAGAAAGAAAAAAATAGAAGAGGCTACTGTTTTCTAATTTGCAATAAAAGGAATGAATTTATTCTTTGCAGTGTCTTCTTTTAGCTCAGGCCATCTTTCACTTACTTCAGCATTTCCTGCGCAGAAGAATAGCCAACTATTTCAAAAGAATAATAAACAAATTTGAAACAGGAACAGTTTTAAGGGCTATTCTGGTCCCATTTTGACAGGGAGGGGTTATTCGACGCAGTTGTCGACACAAAAAGATGAAAGTGCCTCTCACCAAAGCAGCTGGAAAAGTCTCCACGGTACATAGATGGAGGGTGTCCATAAATTCAAAGGCTTGGAAACAGAGCCATCTTGGAATATATGTAGCTAAACTCAAAAGCCTAGCAACTAAACCATCTTTGAATGCGTTCGGTATCCTGCTTACAACATGTGTTTAATAAATGTTTTCAGATGGTGATAAACTCTCTGTCCTTCTAAAAGTAAGCGAGAGAATGTTGGCTTCCTCAGTGATAGCGCCAACCCGGTGGTTTAGAAGGCAAGACGAAAAAAATCTGTCAGAGAGCCACACCTGTTAATTATTTCTGAAGTGCTACAACAAAGTGTTAATTATGTAAGTCAATGCCTGCAAAGCTGGATGAATTTTTTCTGCCTCAGTTGAATGAAAAAAAATTCCACTGAAGCCAAGAAGAAAAAGATGCAAATTCTGACCTCATTTTCTTAGTAAAGGACAGCTGAGCGAAACTTTTAACTCCCAAGATGGAGGGGTCCCCACTAGAAACACCTCGAGAGAGAAGCTGGCAAGTATTCCGAATCATTCTGAATGTAGTCTCAACAACTAAACCTGAGATAGATCAGTAAAGTCTGAGACTGAGTTCAATGGATCAAAAGCTATTTTGGTTTCTACGCTAGGTGTGTTCTCTGAAGCACACATACTCTCCGAGAGAGAGGATGCTCCTGAGACATTCTCTATGCTAGACCTCTGGCTGTGTCTACAGGGTGGAGCCTTGCTAGCTAGCATTTGTGAGCACAGAATGGCCACACTGGCTCTTTCCTCACCTAGGGACAATCTCTTAAGACCGTGAATGAATGTAGCCAATTCTGCACTGAGTAGCTCATCAGTGGTTCCTGAAATCTCTCAGAATGGAAGGCAGATTTCTCTAGTGATCCCACCATTGAATAGAGAAGCAGATATAAAACACAGGCTTTAGCAGACTGTACAAGCTTGACTCAACGCCAGGAGAACCAGCAGAGAAAGATATTTGGGACAAGAGGTTCAAATGACTGCAGACTCGCTGATTTCTTTTTGCCCCTCCCCCACTTAAAAATGACTAATGGGTTTTGGCAGCCTAAAGATCCAACTTGTGTAGAAAACTTGAAAGAAAGGGACTTCCATATCTGATGAGCTTAAATTTATCAAATTTAGAAGTTTCATTTAAATGCATAAGAGAAATTAAATTTTAAAAGTCTGACGTTTAATGGTTTCTGAGATTTCTGTTTGTTAAACCGTTTCAGTGGGCGCCATCATGCAAGCTACCTAAGGATACATATCCCCCTGCCTCTTTCCTGAAAGCAGGACCCTGAGGGGTTCATCTATGTTTTCCACCGTGCCCTTCCCTTTTTCCCTTTTCCAGTTCTTATCTTCTGGCCTTAGTATGACTAGAATGGATGAACAGCACAGGGAGTGAATTTTTTCATTCCAGATGAAGAACTAATGGTCACCCCCTTGCTTAGCCCGGAGAAGCTAACACCCGATCCAGTAACTTTTACACACTTGCCTCTGAGCTCAGTTGATTTCTCTGCTATTACACGAGAGGCTAAAAGTAGACACAAGAAGAGATGCTCGGTGTGGGTCCATTCACAAAACTGGCATCCTACGTTCCCACGGCCTACTTCATGGCTCCCCCAGCTGCTCTGGACCACCCTGCTTGCCTCTGCGCAGTTTCCCGCTAGGATGCTGCCTCCTTTGGCTGTGCCTTTCCTTCAAGGGGCTGGTGATTAATGGCAGTATCTAATGACATTAATGGCAACTAAGGACACTGGCATACATAATAAAGTGCATGCATTATGAACAAGCAAGAGGGCATTTAAAACGGAAGCAGCAAGGGTACATGTTACTCAGAATTAAAAGTGGGCAAACTTATGGAAACCGAGAGACCTGGGTGCTACCTGAGTCATAGCGACGGGGAGCGGCACACCTGAACGGGTTACCCCTTGCCCTGGCTTGGTCATTCCCTCCAGAGAAGCAGCACTTTCTGCTGACACCCATGCCACTCTGCACCGAAACCAAGACAGCTCTTAAATAGGTGGCTTGCTCATGTCCTTACCCTCTGCTTCCGCAGGCTTCCTGGGCTGGTGGGTGACGGACTTGGTGACTTGCCCGAACGTGGAGTGGAGAGCTGACTACCAGGGGTTCCATTGACTGGAGGTAGAAGGAATCACACACAGAGAAAAAAAGCACATTAAAGAACTTTTCACAACAACTCATCAGGAAATAAACAGAGAAGGGACATCGGCTGAAGAATTAGACCCATCATCTGACTCTTGAAGGAAAGCCTTAGGGAATACCCATCCTCAGACATTCACTGTTCCGTTAATCTTGGGTTTAACCCAGTAGCAGGTTACATAATTTAAAAAGATGTACTTTGCATAATTTTCCAGTGATGGCTTTATTTGAACCAAGACGGATATATTCATGAATGTGTTCAAGGCTCTGAGGCATCTTTTGGTGTGTGTCTTTAGTTTAGTTACCCACTGGGAGAAAATGATGAAATAACTCACAGGTGGGAGTCCCAAAGACTTTTACACATTCCTATATTCATTTATGTCCTGTCTACCCCCTAACCCAGCCAGATTCTGATGGGTCTGCCCCAAACAGGACAAAATAATTGCCCACAGATGCACAGAAACTCCACACAGTTGGTCTTTGTTGCTACTGAATTGATAAAAATCTGTCAACAGGTCCCAAACTCGGGAATTTTACTCAATACTTAAGTCGTAGAAAACACTGTCAGCAAACTTAGATGAAGCTTCAGAAGCAGGCAAATCTCTTTTTCTAACTAATACCACCTCTGAGAACACATACCTCCCTCCGTCCCCCCTCCCAAGACATGATTTTATAAAGACATCAGAGGCTGCCACTCTTGATTTGGCAACCCTGCAGATAGGGAGACAAGAAGACTCAGGCAGGAGAAACATCCATCCTGGAGGGTGCCCTGGGGGAGAGCCGGCGGTGCATTCCACTTACCTTCTATGAGTTCTAACATGGACACAGTCTTAGTGTTTGTCCTGACAACAGCCCGAGCCCAAGCCTCCTCTCAGACCAAGCCCCGCACCCGCAGATGAGGGAAGCAGTTGAACTAGCTAGGGACAGCTAAGGCTGCTCGGGAGCAGGCTGAATGAGACGCAGGATTCATCAGCAGATGCCTTTTCCTGCGTAAGGCTGACGTCTTCCTCGCGGCAGTGGGAGGTGCGGGTTCTGTCTTAGGCTACATCAAAGGTGTCAATTAAGCCTCATGCCAACGCGTTGCCACCGCAACCCCCACCAGACACACACTCACTCCTCACTCCGGAAGCCCCAGCCGGCTCAGTCCTTTGCACTGAATCATGAGGAAGCGCCTCTGGGGGCAGGCAACTCAGTGACTCATACAATAATCAAAACGACAGTAACTCGTCCAAAGCCCGGCAAGTTCCAGGTGATAAGGAAATACAAAAGTCTGTGTGTCTGTGACATTTTTTTCTTTCCTTTTTTTTTTTTTCTATACACTGAGTTCTCATAAAACCTTAAGGGGTGAGGGGAGGGGAAAGCGCCTTGGTTCCTTTTGTCTTCTGTTCCAAAGATCTTTAAAATGCCACATAGAGTACCAATTGGTAGTGTTTCTTTAGAAATGCATTGATGACTGCTCTTAAGAACCCTTTTTAAAAGGGGAGGGGGTTGTTTATTGATGTTGTTTTTGCATAGCACAACAGCAAACTGTGACTGTTTTAATTTGCTTGTATGCCACGGGCCGTCTTTATTCAGTGAGTTCCACGGTTATGGTTTAAGGGACTAGACTCCCCAGACAGTGGTCTCTATGGGAAGGACTAGGAAACAGAACAAGTTTTCAGTGATATAGTAGATGCAGAATACCCACCCACCCAGGGAGGAGATGCTGCCCCTGGTGGTTGGCTGGAGGGCATCTTTTATTAAATTAACTTTCAAATTGCCCTCTTCGACTGTGCTTTACAGCTAAGTCATATTTAAAGGCTACACAGACTGGGGGGGGGGGAGAGCAAACCCACACAAGAAACTTCTGCTCAGCAAGTGTGGATGCTGTAGGTAGCTTAGCTTATCGTAGCCTTACGGTCTATACTCCTGTTACATGCATAGGAACCTTTAAGATATATCATCTCATTTAAACTCGGGATGATTTTATGACATAAGCAATATTATTCCCCCCCCACCCCCATTTTACAGATGAGGGAACTGAGTCATAGACCATGAGCAATTTAAAAGCTAAAGGCTGAGATCTGAACTGCGCAGTCCACAACCCACAGGCAGTGCTGTTCTCACGTCTCTCAGGGCACCAGACTCACACAGGGTATGAGATTCATGCTAAGGAGTTCGGTTTATACTCAAAGGACAGTGAGAAGCTCTTGAATGATTTTACGGGGAACCAAGGGTCCAAAGTGCATTCTATGAACACTCTCAAGAGCTCCTACTCTGTCAAGAATTGATAAGAGGGGAACAATTCTGGACATGAGGCTATCTATCCCTTACAAGAATGACAAAGCAGGGTCAGCAAGATGCCTCAGCAGGTAAAGAAGGCTTTTGCCACCAAGTCTGTGGACCTGAATTCAATCCACCATTTCCTTCAACATTTCAGGTCCTATGTTTTCTTAATAATTTGAACCACAAATTCAGGGTCTCAATCCAACCAATCAACACATGCCGTACACGCTAGAAAACCCTTTCCTGTAGGTAGCTTATTACTGAATATCAAAGTTCCCCAAACATCTTAGGTTTGGAAACAGTTGACTAACTCATGGCTTCTTCTCACTAGCCTTAGATTCTATTTGCACTAATGAAGAGACTTTTTAAAAATAGAGTTAAAGGAATTTTTTCTCTTTTCAGCTGGATGCCTAGGGCTTCAGGCACCAGCTACTATGTGAAGTTGGTAATGGTAGACAAATCTCAAAGCAAGACTAATTGGGAGGTAAATGGAGTAAACATTTTGCTATATCCTGGCATGACCAGATACCATGTTTAAAGGAAGGAAGGAGGGGGTAGGACACGTTAGGAAATTGGATTGAGGATCCTAGAGGGAGAAAGGTTTAAGTGTGGAAGGATTGGGAGAATCTGCCGGGAGGAACATGAGACTCTAAGGAAGTGTGGAAAGTCACACGGGGACCTATTTTTATATGCTAATTAAATACAATCTTAAAATGTTGAAATGAAAAAAAGGCATGGCCGGGGATAATGCTCCTTCCAGAAGCTATAGGTTATTAAAGACAATTTCTAGGGCTGATATGGGGTCTTCCCCAGGAGCTGTTGGTTAAGGAAGTACTACTGGTGGTCAAAACAAACCAGCCTACTGCCATTGACCTTGCTGTCCAGGAGAACTTCATGGTAAAGCGCTGTTGCAGAAACCTCACACTGTGAATGCTGAATGTAGGTACTGGGTTCCCTGGATCTGGATCTGGATCTGGATCTGGCCTGGAAGCTTCTTTACTGGTAGCAGGCTGTGGTGGTTTGAATGTGAATGGCTTCCAGGCTCACATATTTAACTTTTGGTTCTCAGTGGGCAAACTAATAAGGCCAGATTAAGAGGTGTGGTTTTGGTGGAGGAGGTGTGTCTGTCACTGGGGGCGCTCTTTGAGGTTTCAGAAGACTACCCCAGGTCCAATCTCTCCTCCTCTGCCTCCATCTTGCTAATAATATGTTTGCTTTCCACCCCTGCTCCAATGCCATGCTTGCCACTGTGCTATCTGTCAGAACGATCATATATTACCCCTCTGAAACGGTAAGCAAGCCCCCGATTAAATGCTTTCTTCTATAAGTTACACTGGCCATAGAGTCTCATCACAGCAATAGAAAAGTAACTAGGACACGGCCTTTCATGGTGCCAGAAGGTGCTCTGCAGGCTGCTGGGGGAGAAAACTCATCACTCAGCCTTGACTCCTTGGAGCTACAGTAAGATCAAGCCTGGCAGGGTGTGTAATAGTGGCATGGACATTACGGTAGATAACCAACTACTTGCTCATGGGATTAGAGGCTGTACCACAGGAAGGTACCATGAACCTGGTCAAGAGTTGATGGCCAGGGAAACTGTATGCCTTCGAGGGAACCCAATACTATCTATCATTCTGCTAAACAGACATATGACTGAACTGTATTCTAAGTAGTCATGTTTATATCCACAGATTGGCAATGCTTTCAACCTTCCTAAAAGAAATTCTTACTAAGACTGGTAACAGTTAATGCAGAGGCTCATAACTGATTAAAATCCCAAGCCTCAGGAACATCCTAGAGGAGGAGACAGAAAGAATGGAAGAGACAGAGGACAGGGGGAGTGCCAAAAAGGAACCTTTTTGGACTTGACACGGATGTGGTACCGATGAACTCATTGTTGCTGCTGTGATCGACACAAGGTCCACACCAGATTACTCCCATCACCATTTCATCATGGGAAACAGAAGGTCTTGTGAGGTTCCAGCCCTCCTGAGGTGATACAGGACTCCTCTCTGAATGCTGTGAATGCCATTGGTTAATAAAGAAACTGGCTTGGCCTGATAGGGTAGAACAGGGCTAGACAGAAAAAAACTAAACTGAATGCTGGAAGAAGGAAAGCAGAGTTTAGAGAAGCCATGAAGTCCCTGCCTGAGACCAACAAATGCTAGATGGAACTTTACCCAGTAAGCCGCAGCCACGTGGCGATGCACAGATTAATGGAGATTGGTTAGTATAGGATGTGAGTGAGCCAGAAATACACTAGAGTCTTTGGCCAAGCAGTGTTTTAAATAATATAGTTTTTGTGTGATTATTTTGGGGCTGAGCAGTCAGGAACAAATAAGCGGCTCTCCTTACAACACCGAGAGCCTACTTGTTACTAGGGGGAAGGGTGTTGCTTTCTTCAGTCACATGGATAAGTTTTCCATGCTCCAACAAACAGACTCCCACTCCTGCGAGCAGCGCTAATTAACATAATGGACCACACATACATAGAAAGATATGAAATCAGGGTGGGGATTTGCTGGGGAGAAGGGTTTTAGCAGAGAGTGGGATGACAGAGAGCATTGGCGCGACAATGACTAACGTTCATCATACACGCATATGAAACTGGCAAAGAGTAAAATAAGCCAGCAAATAAAAATTTGGGAAAGTCAGGTGTGATGGTAGAAGCCTACACACTTAGCTGTCATGAAGCAGGTGCAGGAGGCTAG